TCGTACCAGTCTATAAGAAAGGACAAAAGTTTGACTAATATAGTGTCTAGAATATTAGCTTCAATAATGCTTTGACGCCGAACCAAAGGACGTGAAGAACAGACTAGAGAAAACCAGGCTGCTTTTCAACCTAGACGTGGTTGTATAGACTAGATATTCACACTACGTCAAGTCCTAGAACATAGATACACATCCAGACGCCTCGCAGTCGTAGTATTTCTCGACCTTAAGACGGCGTTTGGCTCTGTTGATCGTGAGGTTCTGTGGCAGTGTTTGCCACTGAAAGAAATGCCAAAGAAGTACATCAACCTTATAAAGGCCCTCTACTCTTGCAAAACTGGTCGAGTGAGAGCTTATGGTGAACTTTCATCAGAATTGATTACCTCAAGTGGTGTTCGTCAAGGCTTTCCACTCTCTCCATTCTTGCTTAACTTCGTCGTTGGCGTGATTTTAGCGATAATACTTTCCTCATCTAAATTTCCAGGAGATTCACTTGTCGACTTAGAATATGCCGATGACAGTTCTATTTGGTGAAGACGCTGACAAAATTCAGAGTCTTCTGACCACTAGATAAGCAACAATGCAAGTATGTTGGGGATGCGATGTGCTAATGTGGTATGATAACTTGAACTGATGTACGTACGTACGAAGTTCCACTTTGTTACTGACTGATTGATGTAGCCACTTGTTACTCCTTATGTTGGTTAACAACCAAACTAAAGAGGCCGACCATTAAATTAAGTCAATTTGGCTGTTTTAATTCCGACTGATCTACCACCTACTGATCCACATGTTTATTTAGTACCACATTAAGCTTTGGGTTGTGGAGTTCTGTGGTTGATGGATGGGCTTTACATAACATCGACGTAAGTAAACTAAAATTCTTCACCAATTAATGTTAATATTTATTCTAATAGTACACATATATATCTGAATTCTATAATCTGACGGTCAGAAACTGGTAAAATATTGATAAAAGTTCCTTAATTCCAAAGCATATAATTAGACGTGAAGCACAGATAACTTTATTCCTACGCTGTGTGGTGTGCGCTACTTATATACACATAAGTAGTATATAACGATAGTCAGGAATAGAATGTATTTCAGTAGATCGAGAAGGAAAGGCAAATATGTATATATATTTCTAAGATATTTAGAGTTTAACGTATATCGTAATAGAAAGCGACATGATATTTTCATAGAAAACAGGTGTGATGTATTTATTCAGCCAGAGCGGAAGTGATCTCCAAATACAAGTCCAGTACGTTGGAAATTACTAGGAGCGTACGTTGTTCATCAATCCCAAGAAATTTCGTATTGTATGGGAGTCGTCAATATAAATCCTTACAGTTGTCAACTTGTCGTTTCCATTAAATAGTCACTGATTAAATTAGGTTCCCGACAATTGAGTTTATTGAGACAGATGATGATGTGGCTTGCCCGTGAATGAAGTGATCTCGCGCGCTGTTAGAGGTATGAGTATGGTTGTCACTTCCCGGATCTCTACACCATAGAGGGATATATCTTTGTGGGATACTTGGGTGAGGAACCAGATTAATCGTCAAAGCGACCTAGAAAGGTGACCACGCAGCCCAACGAAAAACTGTCTGAGGTCGGTCACATACAACCCTCCTACGAGAAGTTTCTAATGTGTTGGCTCCATTTTCCAAAGGGCTTAACCGACGGAGACGAAAAACTATGGAGTAAGGTGAAGTGTGACAATTTTATGGTCGACTGTCTTTATCCCCTTCTGTTATGAGAAGGCAGCATAGCTGCAGGTGTTCGTTGCTTGAAGGAAACAATTACTGCTGTCACACTTCTATAAAATCAACAGTACGACTATAGTTTGCTCCTTCTAGTCTTGCTGTTCCCCAACATGGAAGGATATAAAGGAGCAAGTGTCCCAGCCAATGTAGCTCAATCGGGTCATTTCGGTATGCAACCCCAATCACCACATCAATGTAACAGTTACAGAGAAATTTAGGGCAGCACCTGAACTAAGGATTCATCATGCGGGCAGTAGATGGAGATTGATCGTATTGCTATAGATTAATACAAATAGGTGCCTGTCGACTGAGTTCTTATTATTAATCTGGTCATGAATATAGATGAACTCTAACAAGCGCACAAAAACAGCACTGAAGTGACTGTAATATCAAATTAATACCAATACTGAATATAATTTTGGTGAACAACTAGTAAAACTACAATATATAACATATCAATAATCGTCCTGAACTAATTAAGCAGTATGTCCAGTGTGTTAACATGTCAATTATTCGTCTGCTAATAACTCATACTTAAAGTCAATGAAGGGTTGGATATCACTGTAACTATTTCGATAGCGGTGTGTGTGATGTCCAACGAAGCAATTTGCCTGGACCAGAATAACAAAGACTCTATACAATGATTAGCATCAAATTAATAATAGAAAACTGTCAACTACCTATTACAACAGAGAGCTAGCTAACAAGGTTTTTCGGGGAAAATGATAAAGGACTGAATATGAGACTCTTACAAGAATAGGATCAAAACACAGTAATGAAAGATGGTCAAGACTGTGGGCCAACCAGTCTTACAGTCATTCATATGCCGAATGATTATGTAGGCGGGTTACTTATGTCATGTTAGAGCTTATTACATGTGTCTGCAGCTATGCAGTATTGAGTTTGCGATGGGTTGCGTCTAGTTACTGTCAACAATAGTTGTAAATAGCGTTGTTTTTGTTTTGTAACATGCAGAATGGTTAGTGTCTGACCATATTTGTTTTATTCTTTCGTTTGTCTTGACAGTTCGACAGAGCGTCATTATTTTTGTGGAAATAATGTCGGTATAAACGTCACTGAAGTAATTCTTGATTTCTTTACTCGTTTCCCCAAAACTTTATCGTCGTTTGAGGAAAGTGAAGACAAAACACTTAGTAGCAACAATTAGTTGTTAAACAAATGACCATTGAGAAACCAAACAAAATGAACCAGGAACGAAATTGCAGCAGTTAAAGTTCTCACACTCAGAAGAAAACGAATAAATTTACTGTAACACAACATATGAAGCATTAAATATTATGATCAGTTTCTTACAAAGCCGCCTGAGGTCTCCCATTACGGATTTCTATTATCAGATGTTTAATACGCTGAATTTAGTTTTTGAACGTGAATGACTCCATCGATGGAGTATTCTTACAATAACAGTCTGCCAGGATGAACATTAACTAATGCGTGAGGCGCTATAGTCGATTGAGTAGGTAGGCATTTAAAATTGGTTCGTCTTTCTGTACGAAAGTGTGCACACAAGCACAACACAGTCGCAACCAAATAAACCTTTCATATTTTCAAATACTAAGTTCTTCACCTGTATGACGTAGCACTGTTCCGTTATACTGTTTATTATTCGTCTTGACAGGTTTAGAAATATCTCACTGGTTATATGCTGTGTCATCTAATAGGATTTTTGCAACTAGTACACACACCACACATTTTAAGATGTTATATTCAGACATGTAATTTTTTGAAAATCCGTTTGTTCACTTGCGGTCCGGAGAAATAAATAGAACTTAAGCTAATGCACTTACGTTACACTACATCAACTTCCTTCGGATAATGAACTCTCCTTATCTTGTTGACTAATAAGTTGTGTTTTGGTTCCTTTTAACTGAAATATTAGTAATATCAAAGAGTAACTGAGTAATTTATGCGGTTTATGGTTTCACAGTATTTTAAACTTCTTCAAAATACTCATACTTCACTGAATATGTTCTAGTTCTCGATAGTGTTACTAAGACAGGGTTATTATCCACGAATAGACTGACCCATGAAATTGAGGTAAATCAAATGTTATGTATATATAATTTATCTGTATGGCTGTTTGCCTGGTCGTGTGAATCATTAGTCTGGATAAAACATAATATTAATTTTTCCTCACAATATGCACATATGGTCACAGTTGGTGTTCGATCCCGATAATTATTTTGTGATTGTTGCAAAGACCAAAATATACACTGAACAATGTTTGGTAGCTATTTATGCTTTAAAATGTAGCCCCCTGACCTACACTTGAGTTAAATTTTAAATTTAATAAGGCCTTTAATTAATTAATTTAATGGACAGTACCACTAGGTCGTTAATAATCTGTGTATAACTTTATGTTATTATCATTATTATCATGTTTGCATGAGTAATTACGTATTATAGACCACACACAAATTTCTCATACTAGCTTAAATCTTATTTGCTTATATCGTTTAACGACTCATTTGCTTGCTTATATACACATGTGCTTCATAAATCGTATTCATTTATTCGTCCTCGCTTCGTTTTATTGACCTTTTGATGTGTCATACGATAGCGAACTGGACTTGTTACTTCGTAGTTTGATTTAATAACGGCTATCAAAACGAATTATATACATAGTATAAAAATTGCCTCGAATATATTTCATTGAATTCAGACAAGCGCTTCTGTGGATTGAATTTGCTCCTCATAAATTACGTGAAAAGTGGGTCTGAGCAGTAAGACCAGTTAACAATCAAGTATCTGAGCACCCATCTAAACAGATTGGAGTGTGTGGTCAAAAGGCCACGTGAAAGTATGTACTTATTAGTGTACAGTCAGATATAATAGACAATAATGGATTAAATAATAAGGTAGTTAAATGGTGACTCATGCTCATTTAGACTAATCGGAAATCTCAATAATAAATAGCATAGTAACTATCTATGGTCTATTACCACTAACGAAAGCACGACTTTTGGTGGTCTGAAGCTTATGATTAATGTGATAACTTTACCTAGTTGAAACATTAATAATACTTTTGAGGATGTAGCAATCCAACCCTAGTTCAACTTAAGACTTGCATTCAGACTAAAACACGCCTTACTAGATACATGGAAAAAGGCTTCTTCATACATTGAACAAGAAAATTATCATGTAGTGCTAAACACATGCAAGGAAATCGAAGCAATGTCGTTGGTTTGTTTTGCAGATACAAAAGACTATTGTGTTGATGAAGGCAATCTTTTGAAAGCTAGAGGTGAATTATGAGCTATCAATCTCTAAAACTGAGTTCATATAAATTATTACAAAAGCCAATTTGTGCCACAATTAAAAAAAAAATATCAGTACATCAAATTAAGTATGGAAATACATATATTACTGATCATCTCTGTGTTTAACAATTCCTTTTGATATCAAATCAGGAATTTCTACGGCCAACCAAGGACCCAAACCAAGTGCTATTGCATGTGCGATCCCGAATCTAGGAACGTTCCTACTCCATAGAGGTTTGAAATGGTCCGTAAGGCATATTTTTCCGCCCCTATACATTTTCGCTGTTTTTCCATCAAGCTCAGGCAATGCAAGTTCTGGGTTAGTACTGGGATATGAAACAGGTATATCGAAGTTCAAATCGAACTCATACTTCTTCATATCTTGTATATACCTGCAAAAAGACTCACAAACTAATGGACTTACCAACATTTTCCATACCAACGAGTCCCAAGTTGATTTGATTCAATACGAAACCAATCGTTGTCTGCCGCTTTGTTATTTTCCACGTATTTTATTAGGGCTTGGTACTCCTCCTTCAGCCTTTGTATCCACATGTCTCCATCTAGAGGACCAGCCCTTGTTTTGAGAAGTGGAATCGCAGCAAGAGTTTTCTTTGTAGCTTCGTCAACCATTACAAAGTCAATACGTCACCAGTTTCCGATCACGTAGCACACGGTTTACATAGCCCGCTGCAAATTGTCCAAACAAATTCGTATTTGTGTTTTGGGCACAGTGGGCCTACGGGCTACGTTATTCATCTTCTAGTAAGCTTCTGTTAGTGTTTATCTTTCTTTTCAATGAGTCAATTGGAGAAGCAGATACCACATCTTTGTGCAAAAATCCCAAGAATTGATGAGTTGGTATAAAAATGGTTCAAATGGTTCAAATGGTTGTGGACGGAATAGAAGAAGCTTTCGCTTAACAGGCTTCCGTGTCTAGTAGCAGGGGATCACCAAATCCTCCAGGCAGGAACCTAGGTATGTTAACAATAAAAGAGGAAAAGAAATTGGTAAATCATAGTGTGATGCTGTCCTTGGTCCTTAAGAATAGGTCAAGTTGCCTGTTGAAGGACTCCTGAGAAGTCGCTTGGACTAGCTCGGCCGGCAGCGAGTTCCAGCTTTTGACAACGCTTAAGGAGTAGAAGTTGTGTCTACATTTCGTCTTGCTATGTTGTGTTTCCAGTTTCTGGGTGTTACCCCTTAGGTTATTATTCGAACTAAGCTTAAGTAGGTGTTTAAGAGGATGTCCAGAACCTGTATGTCACAGGTAATTTATTCCTTCGTCGTTCTTGTGCACGCCTTCTATGTCCTATGAGTGATCCTGATCCGAGAGGAGGAAACAGAGAGGACATGTCCGGCCCAAAATTATTTTTTGTTATTCCATACATCAAAATCTGATCACTTCACAACCTGCTGTATTATAGTGATGAGGTCTGGTTTCTCAAGCTTCCCTGTGTATGATAGTAGGTTAATAATCAAAGCGTTCTAAATGCTGAACGCACTGAAGTCCATTACTTCACTCAATATAAGAGAAAAGCAATTCTGTTTAGCTTTTTTTGTGTAATTACAACGTTTACACAAACTTAAAATGTTGTAAAAAATGGACATAATGTGGCGCTTGTAAGAAACAAAGAATCCCTTTTACTTGTTGAATGCTTGGTTTGGGATTCTAAATAGAGTACAGTTGTTCGCGCTTATCTGATACTTCTTGATTCAATTGCGTTATTTCTGAGATTCATAGTTCGTACTGTAATTCAGATACTTCTAATTATCATACATTATCACCACATTGGGGTCCCGATGGGATGGTCGCACAAACATTCAGATTTCGACGTTTTAAGGATTATTTGTAAAGGTTTCGAAATCTTTTACGAATACATTTTCGTTTAAGAAATTTCATTATTGTTTCTTTTGTGGAAGGCCTAATACATCTGCACTGTGTAGCTTTCTTAGCTCTCCTTTTTAGGTCGTTTAACTATGCAGCAGTAGTATAATTGGCCTTTGTTTTCAATGTTTTGGGGTTTCATACTTTCGCATGAGAAGGAAGGGACTGTGGAGCGTTCCTAATTTTCTGCACCTCAATTCCGTCAATAACAAGTTATCAAGCAGTTCATTGGGACAAGTTCGAGTGGAAAGCTGTCTCTTAAAATTTCTAGACCTAGTGTAGATGGTTTACGTTCAGTGATGAGAAATTGAAAATCTATAATTGAAGATATTTTTGTGATGATTATGAGTATCTAAATTATAGTGCATCCATCCCATAACAGGCTCAATCACGACGCCAATGTGATGATTATAAGTATTTGAATTATAGTACAAACTAAGAATCCCAGAAATAACGCAATTTAACCAGTAAATATTAGATGAGCACGACAAAACTTATTGTATTTGTAATACGAAATAAATAAGAATCATTATAAAACAAACGCGAGACCGAGCAACCCTGAGATTGTTGTTCATCACGGCGACTAAGCAATACATTACATCAGCTTAAAGTATCCAACTTTTTCACCTCAGTGTGGCTTTGTGTGAGACTTCAGACTGTCACATCTGACGCAAATCATTTCATATCTGACTGCCAGATAAACGCTTCTAGTGAGTAGTAATGGTTCAGACTTTATAAAACGATGAATGGAAAACAACCAATTCTCACAGCGTTCTGAAATCGCTTTCCGTTATTTCTGACATTACCGATACTAAATTTTCAATAATAATAATAGAATGAAAACCATCCAGTTTTGAGATAATCAGCTAATGATGTTTTTTTGGTAGGATTTATTTCGTAGATGGTAACCTGACATAAGAATGAGATCCTTTCGGTGCTTCAGTAATGCTTCCTCACAAATTTCGCATTGTGTTGATATATAAATTATATACTTATGGACAACTTTTAGCATCGTATAGCAACTCTCCTGCAATCCACTTCGATCATGATTAGTTTTGTTAAACCCTTTTATTAACTTACTTAACAGACATTCTTATTCGAACAGCAACAATTCTCATATTTCTTTATACTATTATGATCAATATCTTGTCTGCATAAACGTGTACTCTTGACCACATGACAGCCTACACACATCTCACTCTAGCCTAAATATCACTTGATGGATCATTCTCTTCTCCATCTACACATGTACTCGGATCACGTTAATAGAATTTGCCTCGCATAGCTGCGTCTTATTCGATTTGACAATAAATTCGCTTCTGTATTTGCTCACATACACACATTCGCCTCTCTGCTTTAAATTCGCTCGATGTGCTTGTAGCTTTCTTATCTGTGCTATCCGCTAAAAAACCGTAGTCGCCGATTCTTATCAACTTCTGATTTCAAACACTATTGGGATTTATATAATAACGGTTATCAAGGTGATCGATTAGCAAAGCTAAGCCACTACAATCATAAGGGTGTATATTTATGTCTCCTAAATACAAGATTTTTGGAGTAGCTTTACCAAAACAAGCGTATCTTCGAACTTTCTGTTGAAAGTCTCTGAAAGTTATGAAAGCTCAACTGCAACATTACCAATCTAAGACTATGGATATGATTAGACTAGCCTCAGTACTCATAGATTTGTATGTGGATAGATCATAAAGTCTTTCGCGATGTGTCATGTGAAGAATTTAGTGACCCGTTGATCTGACTCCATTTAGAGCGTATACATGTTTGTCATCGCCTATTCTCGTATACAATCGTCGACTTAAATCGTGTTAGTCAAAAACGGAATTAAATAAGTCAAATAACGAGAATTGACTTGAAAATACATATATTTTGAATATGAAGCGAATAAAACATAGCAAAGCAAAATGACACGCACGGAAGATGGCTGGGAAGCCAACTTCATTTTAGTCAAGCGTTACTCAATATTTATAGTCAGACAAAATAAAGCTACAGACATGTGATCAATAGGATAAGAAGGGCACACACATATACGCTCATATAAAAACAGTCAAGACTGATAAGCGAATAATTGACAAGGTCAAAATATGACTCAAGTAGAATGAATAGAATGGGATGTCCGAAAGCTAGAATATAAGATATATAGGCTTAAAATAATGACTGACACTACAAGAATACTCGTTCAAGGTCAACAATTTCGGCGAAAATATCCAAGTATTTTGTGTAAAGGAGCATGTACCTTGTATTAAATATTCGTAATAAATATGCTCAATAACCAGTTCATACGAGAACAGTAAACTAGCAAAAATTATAATTTGATTCAGAACGTTCCAATTCGAATTCAAATGACCACAGCATCTGAACAACTAAACCATCAAACTTGAAACGTAACTTCGACGACAGATATAAAAACCTCTTTCAACACGTCTAAGTTAACTGATATGTAGTAATTATTACAAACTGTTTTTCATAAGCGTGATTAAAGTACTGAGATTACCCGAATCGACTATTCTTTTAGAAGTAAAAGAGTTTGTGGAGACGTTTAGATATTACTGAGACCGTGAACTGACCTAAGTTAGACCTTCATCAAAACTTGGATGATTGCTTCCTCCTCGTATGAAGCTCACTAGTAGTGGGCATCTTTGGTCCTATTGAGGATCGAACAAAAGTTTTTAGACCCCGCGGAAAGTATTTATCAATGAAATAATTGAGTCGGCATCCACTCCGATGAAGCGGTAGACACGCTCTACTAGGGCGACGTATATTACGTCAAAACAGCTATTAGGTGCTTCTTTGTTTCCAGTTGTCTAGTTTATGTCGGCTTGTGATCTTAGATGTATTCTTTGAGGATTAATTACTCAGAAGTGCTTTGACAAATAATGTTTATGAGGCAGTTACCGTGAGTACTAAGATGTTAAAGTCCTTAAGATTTGGTTTACAATGACCAATTTTAAAATTTGTTCTATATTGACACAAAGATGTCCCATTATTCAGGGACCAAATCTTGATTATATTCTGAGAAATCAATACAGTCTCACAACTCTGATGTTAACATTTCCACACATTCAGTGGTTTGGAACGAGTCATTTTCCCAGCAAGTTTTGTTCTAAGCAGTATATAAGAACGAAACACCAGCTGTAAACCCATGGTTTTCATCAATTTTGCAAATATGTAACTTCTTGCTTCTCTTTCGTGGTTTCGAGGACTGTATACCGGAACTCCAAGTAAACATATTGTAGCACTTTCAGTTATACTTTATCCATCATGGCTATACATCACTCTACTGACTTATTTATTGGGGTTGAGATTCAATATAAATTTCGAAATAATGAAATTCTTAGGACCATGTTTGGCTTTCCTTTATAGCAGTTTCTGATTGTCGGGTAGGCTAGTGATAGTAACTTCTTTACGTTTATTACTAGTACATATCTGAAGTCATGAATCCTTCCGGAAATAAACATTATGTTCAGGTACTGATCTGACAAAAATAGACAACACCAAATCGAGTATAAACGTGCAAAAAATCAGAAATTTTTAAGTGAGAAAACATAATGAAAGATTTATGGGTGTAATTCTGGTTTGATGCCGCAGCACAATTTCAGTACCCAAATTAACAGTATTAAATCATAATTATGACATCAGCATCCTAAAAGTAACAGGTTCAAACAAACATAAATTAAGACGAATTACTATCAGCCACTAAACAAAGAAGTAGATCACTAGTTTATTCAAGTTGACATGTTATTTAGTCAAAATATACGCATTCATGAATCATATGTAAACTCTTGAAACTTGTGTAGCTGCACTTAACCCCCCCCCCCCCAAAAACGCTTCCTCTTATATGGAAAGTTAAAACAGAA